TTTCTCAAGAAATGAGAAAAATTTAAAACATAAAATTTCTTGAAAAATTCTTGAGAAAGAATTTTCGAGAATAAACACTAAAGACTAATAAAAAAAAATTACAATAAGAAAACTTTTTTATCTTAAAATAAAATATGATCCTTGACTTATAAAATGGAGTTTTTTTAATCTACTTCAGTTTGTCTAATATTTTTATTATTATTTAATGTCCTTTATTATATGTAACATTGATTTTATATATTAGAAGGTCATTCAGAAGTATCTTCAGAAGTTTATTTTTGCTCATTCAGAAGTATCTTCAGAAGTTTATTTTAACCTCTGCAGTTGTAATAAGCATTACAGTTTATTCCAGTTAAATGGTAAAGTAAATTTTTTCTTGGCTTTGGTTAAAGAATGAAATGTAAATCTAGTATCAACTGGATGTACAAAGATAGTTCAATACATAAAGAAGTTATGCATGGACCAAATTATTATAAAACAGTTTTTTGTTTATTAGAACAACAACAAAATGGTAAATGAGTAAAATTAGGTATATTTAAATAGACAAAGCTTGTTTTTATTTTGCAAAAAATATTTTTGGATTTTGGATATATGTGTAACAAAATTATTTTAATACCAAAAGTGAAGATAATTTTAAAATCTAAACTCTATTTTGGTGATGTAATAATTTTATTAAACTTTTTATTTATTAATTAATATTTATACACCTTATTAGAATTGTATGCAAAGAAAGAAAATTTTTTTATTCAATGAGGTATGCATTTTCGCTTGGCATATTCATTTTAAAAAAGAACTGTGGTTTATTTTGTAATACAGTTAATTTTATCAGGTTTTTAAAATTTTCAAGAACAAGAATTTAAATAATTGAATATTTATTTAAATACCATTTAAACCCCTTTTGAAGAAAAATTAAAATCAGATATTTTTTGTACACTGCAAAAAGTCTGATTTTAATTTAGAACATTTTTTACTTGTTTTCCTTAATTTTGAAAGAATATACTTTTCTTAAAATAAGTAACTAATTTCTAAATTTTTAAATACAAATCTAGCGGGTATTTACTTATTTAAAAAAAAAAGTAAGATATATAAAATAACAATAAAATGGTATATATACATAACAAAAATATAATGGTATATCACATAATAAAAATAAAATGGTATATCTACATAAAAAAAAAGTCAATTTTAGAGATGAAAAATCTGTTTTTGAAGAGAGTTTCTACATTCCATATGCTTTTCTAAAAAATCATCTATATCAAATTTGATGGGTACATATTTATTATCATCATCGTGGGAAAGATGTTTGCAGTGGGGCGGTTATACTTTAAAAAACAACGTACTATAATATTTTTGTTTGTTTTGTAGCCAGCATAATTAAAGTTACATATTTTTTGGAAGTAATTTATAAAATGGGTACTGGGATGTGGTAAAGTGGGAATCTTTTTTTGCGAATGAAATTAATACATTTTAAGGACAAAATATATTTTGTTACTTTAAGTATAAATTTATTATTATTTTGCAAATTATTTAGTGTAAATTAATTCATTGACTGTAGATTTTATGGATTTTTTAACAACAAAAATGAATTCGTATCAGAACAATAATAATTTTTTCAACTTTTTCAAACTTTTGATTTTTTACCTGATAATGAATCAGATCCTGTTATAAATTATTTTATTGGAGCTCAAACCTTGCAAAGTAAATGTAATTATTTTTATATCCATTTTATATCAAAATGAAGGTAATGTAATTCATATTAATACAAGTAACCTGAAAAATTTTTTGTTGAAAATATTCATAATTTTATTGATAAAACTTTTAATCTTTTAAATATAATTTGGTTGGTGCAGTTCGAATGACATAAATTCATTTACAAATTTTGAATTGCCGGGTTTTAACTCAATTTCACTGGAACAAAAAACAAACACGGGTAGCCTAGGGGTTCTTATTTACACTAAAAAAGCTTACGATACTTTATCAAACATGATGTGAGCATTTCTGATGTCAATAAAGAGGTTTTATCAATAACTAAATTTAAACCAATAAAGCTTAAACCAATTTTAAAAGTTGTCAATAAAAATATTATTAGTTTTATAATGACATATTTGAAAAAGCAGTGGTTCCAATAATTTTACGTCATATGAAACAGTACTTTGCATTTTTTCATTTTTTGCATTAGTATAAATATTTTTTAACAGAATGAACTTGTATCATTATTACCTGATTGTTGCAAATAGCATGAAACTTAAAGTTTTAAAAATCATATATTTTAATTTTCATTGTATTTGTATATATATATATATATATATATATATATATATACCCATATAGTGTAGTCGAAAGAGCGTTTTAATGTAAAAAAAGTCTCTTACGACTACAATTTTAATTACCTCGTCTCTTAAGCAGTTTTTGATTGTCATCGAAATGTCAAAGCAATTAATTTATGCGGAAGTACATTAAATTTAATTGTTTTTTAAAAAATTTTTAAAAAACCGCAATTATAACGACTAGAAAGTTTTTTTTAATTAGTGGTGTTTTTGTTATTGATTTAATAAAAAAACATTTTTAAAACATGCGTAAATGTTGCTACATCGACTATCTTATAGCCTGACTCGCAACGGAGTGCTGCTACATCGACTGACAAATAGCCTGACTCGCAACAGAGTGCTGCTAAATCGACTGACAAATAGCCTGACTCGCAACGGAGTGCTGCTACATCGACTGACAAATAGCCTGACTCGCAAGGGAATGCTGCTACATCGACTGACAAATAGCCTGACTCGCAAGGGAGTGCTGCTACAACGACTGACAAATAGCCTGACTCGCAAGAGAGTGCTGCTACATCGACTGAGGGTTTGGTTTGGCCAGGCAGTCTATCAATTAAAAAAAAAAATTTAATTTTTAAAACTTTTTCTGGTCTGGTTTATTAACGCGCTCTTTAAAACTACAGTTTATGGGAAATATTTTTTGATGCCACGCAAGAGACATGCAAGAGTATATATATATATATATATATATATATATATATATATATATATATATATATATATATATATTTTTTTTTTTTTTTGCAGTGTAATGCAACTTGAAAATTGCGATTTGCCTCGCTGGTCTAATTAGGTTTAAGTAAAAAAAGTTTGTTTATGAAATATATTTTTAGAGATTTTTTATTGTTGATAAAAAGTAACAACAAACTATTAAAATTTAGCCAAATTTATTATTTGCCACATTTACTTAAAAATTGAGGAAGGTTTTACTAAACGTTTTAAAATAAAACATTTTATTAGTGTTAATAGTCTTCTTACAGAACAAAATTTTCTATAATATTTCAAAAGTTATACATACAACTGTAACATCGCTTTAGTAAACATTTTCAAAAAATAACAAGAAGCGATCCAAGGAGCTCACTTAAAACAACCATTGATTATATATAAAATATATATATATATAATATATATATATATATATATATATATATATATATATATATATATATATATATATATATATATATATATATATATATAAAATATATATATATAAAATATATATATATATATATATATTTGTATATTTTAAGAAACAAGACAAATTTTTTAATTAATAAAAGCATTTTATTAATTTTAACAAATACATGTTTCGACTATCACTAGTCGTCTTCAGTTGAATTTAAACTTTTAATTTTTTAAATATGTTTAAATACCTATATAGGTGATTTTTACAATAACAATACAAAATGTAATTATTTATGTACAAACTATTAATTTAATTACAAAAATACAACAAAATCTATAAGAATAACAAGTCATGCTAAAAGAACGAATAGGAAGTTACAAAAAAATAGGTTAATAAAAATTTTACATAGAAAATAACTAAACAGAAAGTGTCATTTGGACATGGTTGACTTGTTTATTCAAACCAGGTTTTAACCATTCTATGAACATACTTTCTTTAAGTTTTAATTCGAACTTATTAGATGCTGAATCTAAAACGGAAAAACACCTTTCGTTTAATTGCATAAAACAATTTTCATTACTATGGAGATGTTTATAGATATGTGATTTTTTGTCTCTCTTATAATGTTCAGTTATTCGTGTCTTGAGATGGCGAGTAGTTTCGCCTATATAACAGAAGTTACATCCTGCGCATACGAATGTAGACCACAAACGATTTGAACTCTAGAGGAATAGGATCTTTAGAGGAAAAAAATTTAGAAACTTTTAGTGAGACAAAAACTAGTTTAAAATTTACAGAGCAGCAATATCTTTTAACAATTGAATTCAATCTTTTTTTAGTTAAATCCGATATTTTTCCTAAAAACGGTAGTTTAAAGTAAGACGAAAACCTCTTTGATTTTTGGTTGTGATATATTGTTTGTGTTAACTTTGTTTAAATAAAATTTATATATTTTCGATATCAGCCAAGATGGATACATGTTTCTTTGAAATACTTTGAAAAGGTTGTTTATGTCGGAGTTAAACCCTAGATTAGTATTATTGATTTTAAATGTTCTTGTTATTCTTATAGATTTTGTCGTACTTTTGTAATTAAATTAATAGTTTGTACATAGATAATTACATTTTTGTATTGCCATTGTAAAAATCACCTATATAGGTATTTAAAAAAATTTTAAAAATAAAAAATTTAAATTCAACTGAAGATGACTAGTGATAGTCAAAACATGTATTGGTTAAAATTAATAAAATGGTTTTATTAATTAAAAAATTTGTCTTGTTTCTTAAAATATTTACAAGAAAAGTGCTTAAAAGAAATTTTGGATATATATATATATATATATATATATATATATATATATATATATATATATATATATATATATATATATATATATGAATATACAAATAAACCTACCTATAAACAGTAAATATGACAATGATACATATATATTGTATGTATGTAAATACTTGTTTTATAGCAAGTATGTAAATGAAATAATGTTAAATACAATGCTATTAGTCTCAAATTAAATCATTGTTTACCTTTATGTTGATGATGTAGTCTGGTGTAAGAGGCAAATTTTTAAGAAATGCAATCTGCTCGTCAATGGTAAATGCTTCACTGTAACATGGGAATCCATCCAAGATGTAACCTTTAAAACAGTTTTTTCAAATGCTTACAAATAGTACAAAAACAAAAAAATAAATTATTTACAAAAAGCATTTTGTGCTTTTATTTAACTTATTTTCATCTTTGTCAATCATGATGAAAAATCATCATCATCATCATTATCATCATCATTGTCATCATCATCATCATCATCATCACATCATCATCATCATCATCATCATCATCATCATCATCATCATCTCATCATCATCTTAAGTATATTTTTTTAATTAATAAATTTTAAACAAAAAAGTCAATTCAAAAGAGCAACTTCAACTAATAATTAAATAATCAAAAAACTTTTCATAGCTACTGACTAGCTGTAGGGAGAAAATAATATTTTGTCAACACTTGCCTACATCTAGAGTTCACATTACAGAACTGGTCACGTGAAAAAAAGATAACAAGATCAAACATACTGATAAAACAACTATTATACATCTAGACTTCCTATTACAGAACTCTGTAATATGAATTCTACATCTAGACTTTACATTAAAGAACTCTGTAATGTGAACTCTTTAATTTAGATTTCACACTACAGAACTGGCCACATTAAAAAAAGGTTACAAGATGAAACACAAAAATAAAAAAACTATTATACAAAGAGGTTAAAAACACTTAGGTTTAAAAGACTTGAATTATAATGTATAGATGTAAAAATGAATTAAATCATTTAAAATCTATTTGATTTAAAAACAACAAATACAAAAAAAAATCCAAGCACACTCTAATATTCTTCCTACAACCTCTTTACCATGGATATTAATAATATTTTTAAAAAGATACCAGAACTATTTTTAAATCAAATGCCAACTTAAAAACGCTATTAATGTCTAGAAATAAATTAAAATTACCATACAACTGCTGACCAGGAACCTATTTAAATAAATTCAAATGTTTAAAAATATATGTTGGTGAATCAAAAATTCAAATACGAACAAGGAATCAACAACACCAGAAATGTTTGATTGAAGTCAAGATAAACCAGTCTGCATTAGCTTTGCATAGAGTAAATTGCAATAAAAACATTGAATAGGAAAAAGCAAAACAGCTTAAATTGAAGGCTAAAATAATTGATAAAGTCTGTGAAGCCTTGGAGATAAAAAAAACATCAATGTTCTCCACTATTAATTTACACAATGGACAATATACCAAATTGAATTTTTAGACTTCATTATTTAATATTACATAAAAGAAACCATTATAAAGCTGATGTCAAATTTTAACATTTTTTTATTTAACAGTCACAATTTTTTGCAATTATATTATATGCTGATAATGCTGGTGCTTATGATCTGGCAAATATTTCAAATAAATTATTTAGTATTGAGAAAATTTATATTATCTGATGTTTTAGAGTAGTTTATATAACCATACTCTTGCACAAGATGTTAACATTTAAATCATATATATATATATATATATATAAACATATATATATATATACATATATATATATATATATATATATATATATATATATATATATATATATATATATATATATATAAATTAGTAGAAAATCACTTTGCAAAATTTTTTTTCATTTAACACTGTGTTTCATCAATAAAGACTTATCAGAAATGATTCTGATGAGTCTTTATTGATGAAACACAGTGTTAAATGAAAAAAATTTTGCAAAGTGATTTTCTACTAATTTGTAATTGCTCTGTTCTTTTAAGAACATTGAGCACTCTTTTTGTGGAATACATTTTAAATTGTTTAATTATATATATATATATATATATATATATATATATATATATATATATATATATATATATATACATATATATATATATATATATATATATATATATATATATATATATATATATATATATATATATATACAAATTATAATTTTATAAATTACACAAACTAACCTACAAATAATGTAAAATAAATAAAACTGTACAGAAACTAAATTTTAAAAACATTAGCAAACCATAGTGAAAAACATCTGCTGCGGATAGCCTTTCAGAAAGAATTTGCAGTGATAAATGTTCAGGCACAACACCGCCATTAGTTAAAATATCATGAGCCTATAGATAAAGTGCATTAAAAAACAACAAAAAATTTTTTAAACTTAATAAACATTAAATCTTTATAACTTTATAAATAATAAAAATAAAATTTAAATGAAATTAATCCTAGTTTTTTTAAAGAGATGTAAAAACATTAAGGAGATATAAAAATATTAGGGAGATATAAAAATTTAAGGAGATATAAAAATATTAAAAATCTTTTGGTTTTAGATAAAAGCTTACTTTTTTGCCACTTTCACTTTGATTTTGAATGGCATAGAGTATTGAATCAGACACTGAAAATAAAAAAATAAAAAAAAAGTAAACTTTTAGTTTTTTTAAAGCAATTTTCATTTCCCATTGATTTTTCTCAACAAACTAGTGCAAATATCAGTTATTTAAACCCGTAGTTATTCAAAACTCCTAATATTTAAGTGATTTTTTGGTTGTTTTGACAAGAAACCTGTCATTTATTTATAGTTTTATTTCAAGTAAAGATTCCATAGCACTGAATAACATTCAAAACATAATAAAAAATCAAACACATTAAAATGTAGAGCAGTAAAAATAGCAAAATGGCATCTATGCAAAAGAAGACAATCCTGACCATCTAAAAAAAATATTTTAGAGATTTGAAAAAAAGTCTTTATAAGAAAAAAAAGATAACACTAAGTTTTGAGAAAATTCAGTTTTACGCTAAGTCTGATAAGAAAGTTCAGTGTGACGCTAAGTTTTATAGGAAAGTTCAGTGGTATGCCAAGTTTTTTGAAAAAATTCAGTAAGGACAGAAAAGTTCACTTAAAATCTAATAAGAAATTGGTTTAGTAATAAAACACTTGCTTCATAAGTAAAAAGTACTGAGTTTAATTCCAACCAAGTCCATAGTAGTACCACAACAAACTTGTTTCTCTGTGCAGTGATCTCACTTGTTACAGTTACTGTTTTGTATTTAGAATTAAGAGAGGGTTGTAACAACTAAAATAAAAAATAATAGCCTCCTTGTTTATAGAAGTCCCCCTAAGCCTTAAACAGGTTAATAGAGTAAAAAAAATGCAAACTTTAACTTAACATGTTCAGTAAGTATAAGCTTAACTAATTTAAGGCAGAGAAAAAAGTTAGGTGTTGAAAAACATCGTTCTGCTGATAAAGCTGTACATGAATAGTTTATAAATGCACATAAGTATCCTAACTGGTGGACACATTAGGAAGAAAGGAAAAGAAAAGGACACATTAGGAAGGAAGCTTTAAATTTGCAAAAGAATTCACTCTAACGAATTGAAAGGATTTAGAAAGGCTAGATCAGTGGAAAACAGACTTTAGATAGATATTGTTTATTAAATATTGATATTGTTTATTAAATATTGTTTATTAAATATTGATACAAATAAGATATTGTTTTTAAAACTATTTCTAATAAGGTTGTACACAGAGGAAATGAGATATTCAGGATTTCATTTAACTAACAATTAATTTGAAAAAAAGTAGGAATATTAAAAAATAAGAATATAAAATATATTAAGCATAAAATATACAAAATAAAAAAAAGGAAAAAATATATATAAATAAATATATAGAAAAAGAATAAAAAAGGGTAAAAAGTCTAATGAAGAAGTGGTGTAGTGGTAGAACATTTTAAAAGCAATAAGTTCAAAGTTTTATACCCATCACATCTCTGATATACCACATTTAAATTATTTCTCTGTGCAGTGTCTAGTTCGTACCCTACTTTGGAGTTATAGGGTTGAAAAAGAGTTGTAATAAAACTTTAAAAATAATGAGTAGCCTCTTTGACTTGCAGGTGAATACAGTAAAACAAAAAAAATGAAATTTGCCTTTAGAAAAGCTGGCATAATCAGAAATCGTATATACAAGTTACTTGAACAAGTTACTTGAACGATAGTGTTGAACAATAGTCTCTTTTAGACAATAAAAGCATTAAAATCAGACAATCTTTTTATGGATTTGACAAACATTCCTTAGAAGCGAAAAAGAAATTAAAAATGATTTTTTCAAAAAATAAAAACGATTTTGTCATTTTACAAGGAAAAGACTAATGTCGCATTTTATTTAAAAGATTTTCTTTTTTATGCCCTAATTGTTCTAAAATTGATACTAATTTGAAATAGGTAACATGAATTTTCATTTAATCAAAATTTATTTGAATGATTTTCTTTTAACAAGACTGCAAGCAATCACTAAGTTAGGAGTTGACAGAAAACAAAGAATATCATTAAAGAGCAAGAAAACGACAGAAGACTTACAAAACTGTATAATGTATGAACAGGGAAAAAAATGAAAACAGAAGAGAATTTCAAAGCATTGATGTGCAAGAAAAAAACTAAATAAATAATTGTTTTTAGAGCATGAAAATTGTTTTTAGATGCAGTAAAAGGAAGTAATTTTGCTGAATAAAGTTATGCTAGAAGGAGTTTTGGTTGATGGAACAAGAGCTTGTTTGAGCAGCAGCCAATACAGTTTTTGTAAGACAATGAGACAGAGCCTCAAGCTTAGCAGTTAGAGAATAAGTTGTAAGACTTAAGCTGAGATAATAGAGGTTTGTTAATTAAAGACTCAAATACCTTGCTAATACTAGAGAGAAGACTTATGGAATGATATTTGGAAGCGTCAGAGTGTATTCCAGAGTTTTTAAAAATTGCTGCAGACAAAAAAACAAGATTCAGATAAGCACTTGTTAAATAGTTAAGAGTGAATTGAAGAGAGTTCTGGAAAACGCTCTTGTAGGACTACGACAGGAATGTTGTCTGGGCCACAAGCAGTAGATGAGTTTAAAAGTGAAGTAACTTTAGCAATGAAAGCTAGAGTGAATTGGATAAACTAAAAATTGATTAACATGTTTCTCTGGTTTCTAGGACTTAACTTCTAAAATAAAATATGAGATCTAGTAAACTTAAAATGATGGAGATATGAATCAGATCTTTTTGCATTGATTTCTAACAATAATAAAAAGAGGTTTGTTCTAAAGGAAGTTGTTGGAAAATATAAAAGATTACGATTAGAAATAGCAGCTGAAACAATAGAATGAAACAATAGAATAAAACAATAGAATAAAACTATATAATGAAACAATAGAATGAAACAATAGAGTAGAATGAGACTCAACTCAAAATCAATAAAAAGAAATAAAAGAATCTATGTCTGCCTAAAATCACATGAAGGTGCAATTATCAATGAAGAGACAAAAGACATTAGTCCAAGGATCGTTACAAAGAAAATCAAAAAATGAATCTCAATTAACTTTAAGGTAATAACAAAAAGTGTTATTATAAGTCTGAAGAAGAAGATGAAAGAAGAAGAAGATGAAAGTTTTAGTCTAAGGTTAGAAAAAAAAAAAAAAATCAAATAATGAAGATAAGTAATTAGGGTTGTCTGAGTAATAGATTGAAAAATTATGAGCTTTATTGCCAGCAGGGGTAGTGGTAATGGAGCTAAACCATTCAATGTGATGAGCATTAACATCATTGGCTGATAAATAAAAAGAAAGGGATTGTTCAATTTGATCAGAAATAAAATCAAAAAGAGTGCAGCCTTGAAAAAATGAAGGAAGGAGAAATATTAAAGAAAAAAAAGAAAGTTGTTTGAGTAAAGAGGTGCTAAACAGAAGCACATAAAAGAATGGTCAGAGGATTTAAACCTGTTTTAATAACAAACAGGTGAAATGATATGCAAGTATATATCCAGGCCAAGCATGTGACTATTACAATCTTTGTGAATCAATCAGAGATAATAGCCATCAACACTGAGATGTCAAAACAGCTGAATTCAAACTAGTCTCACAAAGAGCAAGAAAGTCTGTTAAATTTTGCAAGAGCTAAGATTTAATGATGATGATGATGATGATACTTCAAAGACCATGACCATACATGAAAGATAGATAGAAACAATTAGGTGGTAATGATGGTTTCTTTAGATACTTATTTCATTAATTAAGTTGTAAGAGACCTTGATCATAGATAGTGAGTGGTACCTTAAGCAATGAACTATGTAGTTGCCTTAATCCTTCTAATTAAGCTAAAGTTGTAACATAAGCACTTACAAGGACACTATCCATGTGCAATGTTGCATTATTAATACTCTGATATTTTAAAAAATGTTGATGGAATCAGCCTCTCTAAGAGCAACCACAGAGTTCAGGAAACCTTATAACTAGCCGGTTTAAGAACCATTAAATTGAATTTTAGAGCTGTGTTCTCATTAAGAGGTAACAGGACAAGTTGCAATCAAGGATACCTCTACCTTGGGACTCATGGTTGAGTAAAGGCTAGAGATGATGAATTGATAAAAATACTCATTTTGGACAAATGTTAACTGCATCTGACTACTGCCTTAAAGAAGGACTCCTTGACAAAGATTTTAGAAAAAAAACTAGACAAATAAAAAATTTTAGCGCAATTTTAGCGCATGTAGGGACAGATACAGCAAAAGATTGAGACTTTGCTGAATGAGGAGTCAAGCGAGAATGAGTTTTAGCTGATAGAACTAGAGATGATAGCTCCTTTGAGCAGCCATCATGATAGTATTTGTAGAAAAGAGAAAGAGAAGCAACTTTATAACCATGGGAAAGAAGCTCAAGCTTAGCAGATAGAGCAGGTCCAACTACGCTTACAATGCGTTTTTGATCCTTGCCAAGAAGAGAAAGAGCATCATTAGAAGAACTAGCCCAAATATGACAAGAGTATTCCATACAGGGCGAAATAAAAGATTTGTAGTGGTAGAGAATGAAATCAGGAGAGTATATAACCATATATAACCATATATAAATCAGGCGAGTATATAACCATAGAGTAGAATAAAGCTTGACTTGAAACCGACAAGAAGGAATAAAAGCTTTCCTAACTGGCTGAATCCAGGAGATTACATAGGAGGCACATTTTTCAGATGAGAGAGAAAAGATATTAGCCAAAGGAACATCAGGAAAAAACACAAAAAGAGTCTGAAAGATTTAAAGAGATTATTGCATGGTCAGAACTGCCTAAAAAAATGATCAAAGGACTCAAGCCTGATAGTACCCATCAACACTGAGATCTGAAAAAGGAATAGTAGAATTTAAATTGGTCTCACTAAGAGCAAGTAGTCTGGCGAATTTTGTAAGAGATTCAATTGATGGAAGGTTGCTTTGCAGACCAAGAATATTTGTAAAAGATATATTAAAACTGTAGTGGAAATGGTTTTTACGTTTAATATTTTGGGTCACTTTAGGCATTATTTAAGTTTAAAGAGAACTTTACTCATTTATATATAGAGCACAGCCTCCCAAGCAATGAGCTATGCAATTGTCTAAGTCCTGTTAATTAACTCTAAGTCTTTACATAAGTCTCCTTATGTGGCCTTGACAATGCGCATCAAAAGCATTAATTGGGACTATTTGCTTAGAATAGCCAAAAATTTTAAACCTATAACTTTTACAAACATTTTAACATTTTTATAAACATTGGGAGTCATAAACTACATGCATGAAATTAACTAATAATGGTTGTTTTTTAAACAAAAACTAAGAACTAATAAATCACAATAGTCTACCTGTTATTAGTAAACATCTCCATACTTTTATAAACTCTTTAGCTAAAGTGCTTTTTCCACATCCCTTAAAAAAACATTTACGAAAAAATTAGATTTTTAAGAACAAATCTTTTGACATTGTTCTAGACTAAATCTAGTTTAAGCCAAAATCTTAAATGAAACTAAACAACAACACAATAACAACAAGCTATTTATTTTCCATTAACCATCTTAATAAGTAATAAAATAGTAACAATAATGATAATAGTCATGTTATGCGTAATTTACTGACTCGTAATTTACTGAAGTTGTATGCTCTCATTTTTTTTTTAATATTTCACCAGGATATATGTTAAACTTTAATTTTAAAATAAAATTGCTATCAATGTGGGTACTGAGAGTTAAATATAATAAAATATTGTAATTATAATTATAAATAATTATAATACTTATATATTTAAATTATAGATAAAAATATATATTTTTATCTATTATGCATAAAAAAATTTTGAATTTTTTTGAATATATTTAGTTTTTATGTTAGATTGATATATTAGTGAACACCTGATATGACATTGATGTCATATCAGGTGTTCACTTTAGACTAAATCATACTATTTATAAATTTTACTTTGAGTTATAAAGAGTTTTTTAGAAAATATATACTGATTGATAATAACACAACAATTTAATTATTTAATCTATTAATGTTTTAACATAGGTTGTATTAAAATGGCTAAGCAAGAATATTACAAAAGATATGAGAAAGTAAAAGCTATTACAAACTGGTATATAAAACATAAATTTGTGTACATAAAACACCTCCTATCTGCATACATAATACACCTCTTATCATACTCATCCGGGCCCACAATACAACACACAATGCAGGTGGGGGGTAATCACATAGACGTGGAATTACCAAAACAGAAAAAAAATATTTCAAAAAATATTTTTGTATTGGCATTTTGGTTATTAAACAGACATGACTTTTAAAATTTTTTTTTAATTTAGTGGTGCCTTCAAAAGTTTAGCAACTTAATTTTAATTTAATAACTTTAATAAAATTCCCAAAACCTAGAAATTTTTTATTTGTTTTGTTTTCACAATAATGATTCTGAATTATTAAAATGTCTATACATTTATGTTAACAGAAAAATTTAGAATAGTTGCAGCAGATAAATATTAGGCATCAAAGTCTGTTATATATATGTATATACATATATATGTATATATATATATATATATATATATATATATATATATATATATATATATATATATATATATATATATATATATATATATATATATATATATATATATATATATTACTATTATAACTATTTTTTATCATTTTCACTTCCAACAAGGTTGCAAGCTACCACTATTAGAGTTGGAAGTTACTAGAAGAGAAAAGATGAAGTTTATAGAGCGAGATATGAGTGACAGACGACTTAAAAGATTGCAAATTATATGAATCAGGAAAACAAGATGCCCATTAGAATATTTATAGAAAAGAGAAAGAGAAGCAATATTACAATGATGTCATAACAGTTGGAGGTTGCCTGCAAGAGTAGGTCCAACTATGTTTACAATGTGGCATCATTGGAAGATTCGCCACGGATATGGCAACAGTATTCAATAAAAGGACAGATTTGAGATTTATAGAGATAAGAATAAAATCTGAAATAAGAAAGTGGCAAGCATGATAAAGAGATGCAACATTAGCAGATGCTAATTTTGATATATGGTTTCCAAGAAAGATCAGAAGCAAGAGTTAATCCTAAGAGATGAAAAGTAGATGACTCATCAAGTACCGTTCATAAATATAGAAAGATCTAGATTATTTCGATAACAATTTGCTAAAAAAAATTGAATTTTATCTGAGTTAAAATTCACCAGCCACTGAGAGCCCCATGCTAAAGTAGCGATGAGATCCCTTTCAAGCTCAAATGCTCCCTCCTAGCAATCAGCAAGAGTAAGAAGGCTAATGGGACGGTAGAAAGACAAGTCAGATCGCTCTCCAGAATTTTTGAAAATAAGGATAACAGATGCTGCTTTCCAGCAGGCTGGAAAGCAAGACTTGTTAAATAGTTTTGAAAGGCAACAGCTCCAGAGAACACTTCTGCAAGACTTTAGCAGGTATGTTGTCTGGACCACAAGCTGTAGAAGAGTCTAAGCAGAAAATCACTTTAGGTACAGAAGCTAGAGTGATATGAACATCAAGTAATGGATCAACTTATTTGTCGGCTGTATTAAGTAGAACACCTAATACAGCCATAGTGAGAAGCACCTAAAGGCGAATGTGGAGAGACTGAGCACTGACTAGGATCAGAAACAAGACATAAGTTGAGTAGAGAAGGTAAACGATTTGAATTTTCAGAACGCAAGATGGAAAGTTTACTAATTGTGTTACAAATTGAGAAAGGCAAAAGTTGTAAGGCTTAACACCTGCAAAGTCACTGACACTAGAGCCAAACCATTCAGTGTAATAAGCATTTAAGTCAGCAACAACAACAATATTGGTTGAAGGATAAAGAGAAAGGGCTTGGTCAATTTGATCAGAAATAACATCAAAAAGAGTGCAGTCCTAAGATGAAGGAGAGCAATATAGAACAAAGAGAAAGGTGATAGAGGGAAGTGGTGCTTAATGAAAGCACATATATTAAATAGTTAATGGGTTTAATCCTAGTTTCCCTACTAATGGGTGAATTCTTACAAATGTAAATGCCCATGTCAAGCATGTGCTTGCTATTTTCTAACTCTTGATTCCATTTTCTATTTTTATAAATCTTATATTCATTCTTGTATGAAGCATTGTTGTTATATTTGGGCTGGTCCTTATAACAACTCTCTTTTCTTTGAGAAAAAGTTAAAAAATGCATCATAAATGTAGATGTACAAACATAAGCAGAGTTGCTACTTAAGCAAGCTTTTATTCTCTTGTTCTATCACCAAAACTTAATCTCACTCGAATTGACATTCAAAGTTTTTACTGTAACATGGTAAAAAAACTATTATTCATATAGTTTTTTGTCCTCAAACATCAGTACTTCAAAATTCTTTCCTGACATCAAACTTACATGACTTGTACATACTCTTATGGTTTTTTAAGTTTTTGTCAACAGCTTTTTTGCTTTCTAATTCTTTTACTTTTATTTATTCTGTTAAATCCCCACTTATATATTAACTGCTTGCAATTTTGTTTGAAGATAACTTATTTAAAAAAAAATCTTTGATATTTTAAAACTAGATAAAACTTGAAAATTTTAAAAATAGATTAAAAAAAAACATGATAGAAATCCTGCACACCCTGCCACATGTCCCAAAAAAGTAAATTCTCTACAACCTGCCACATGTCACCTTATTGAGGTCAAAGAGCCTACTACAGTTAAGGAGGTTACTTTTTTTTAATTTTTAATACAACTAACTTACTGCCTGGGGGTACACCTACATATCAATTTACCTACTTGTTGTAAAACCAAGCTATAGTCCTGCGATTATTCTTTTGTGTGCTTTATTTTAGCTTTATTCTTAAACATATATAGCTTTATTTTTTAAAAAAGTGTTGGCTAATGCTAAAGTCAATTAATCTCAGATTGCTAAACCTTGTTTTTAACTCAGAGGTTAGCTTCTAGTGACTTTTGGAAAATCTCTAACAATCTTATTTACAAAAGCAACATTCCATCTCTCATACATGAGTCTGATCTTATCACCTCACCCACGGATAAAATAAGACTGTAAAAATTTTTCTTATTTATTTCTTGAATTCAATGATAACACTCTTCTTAACATTCAGGAGAAACAGGTTTGTTAATTATTAGATATTATTAGACATCTTGATTACTCCAACTTGCTTTGTTAGTTATTTATAACACTTTGACAAAACATTCCTGGCATAGCCTTACATAAATGTTCTCTAAAGCTCTCTCCAGTATTTATTAATGTATTTCAGAAAAACTTAACTAAAATACTGTAATAACAGAAAGGTTCTATCATACACTAAATAAAAGCATTGAGACAAAAGCTATTGTTTTTTGAGTTTCAATACTAAAGTTTTACTGAAACTGCAGTACTAAAGTTTTTCCACTTACCTTCATTTCCAGCAACTTCTGGGGTACCACAAGGTTTCATTCTTAATTCTGGTTTGTTCTTCATCTATATAATTAAATCTTTCTGATGATCTTACTTCTAAAGAGGCAATAACCTTTAAACTATTCATTTGCTGATAATGAACTATATGATAACTGATCTTGATACAAAATTATCAATTTTTAACTGCTTAGCTTAGCTGACTTTAAATGTGATCTCTCCTCTGTGACAGCTTTGGACTCGCAGTGAGTTAACTTAAACCAGTTACTTTTTTAACTGTGGACAGCTTACAGAGGATAATTAAAAAACCCAGATTAAACTATGAGTAAGGTCAAAAGAAAGGTGAAGAAAGTAGAGTTTATTATAGATATATATAAATATTAAAGATACCATCATTAATTGTTTTGAGATCCACCATCATTAATTGTTTTGAGAAAGTAAAATTTTTTAGGACCAGAAAAATTCTCTTTAGTCAGTTAAAAGAATAACTTAAAAGATCTTCAAAATCAGATTTAAAAACTTAATAACTTATTAACTTAATAACTTATAACTCAAAAGCTGAAGATGTCATTTCTGCAGACAAAAACTTAATGAGCACAGTACCTTTACTAACAGACAACCAGATCATAAAAGAAGCAAAAAATTCAGCCAGCTAAATTAAGCCGATGTTGGGCTGAGGTCAGGCCAATGTTGTTACATCAGTTAGACATTGTTTGTGTTGTTTTCAACACAACAATATTGGCTGAATGCCTGCTAATTGTGGGTTAGCCAATGTTATATATTTTTCGATTAATTAATCAAAATATATATGTTAGCTAAACATCTATTTGCCAACCAATAGTTATTGTGCCATTTTTAAAATTAAAAGGAAATTGTGCTATCAATAAAATTACTTAAGCAATTTAACAACATAAATAAATATATAACATAAGATATAAACTATGACTATTGTATACTATAACTATAATAAATGTATATAATAGTTATAGT